CATATCTCAGAAGGGAAGATGAAAGACCATCGGGACCAACACTGCACGTGGTTTTCACAGTACGTAAAATCTCAAGTTTCTTCTTTGGAGACGGCCTCTACTTCCAAGATCGTGCAGAACAAATGGAGTGATCGCATCGCTTGATGGGTGGATAAATGCTGCATTAACACTGTCCAANAATCCGTCGTAGAATCCGACGTTTTGGATTTGGTCCCACACAGCAATTTGATACCTTGCCCAATTCGTTTACTGTTGTCATATAGCAGAAGCTGGGAGACGTACGAGGCAGAGAGGCGTTTGATTTCAGCTTGATCAAGTCGATGTAATGCTTGACAGCCACTGAGTCTCTAGATTTGTACGATCGCTCCTCCTGTGTTCTGATTGATTCCAGCAGTGGAGATGATATTCTGCCGGTACAAACAAATAGAGTTTTAAAAGGGTAGCAAAGGTTAAAAGGAGGGCTAAATGTTTCAGTGAATAAGTTGACTGCATTGTGTAAAGAAGGGTAAGAAGAAAACCACGAAGAAACGACACTGATGGAATGCTTAAGAAGAAAGGTGTTTCTTGGGGAGAGATTGCGAAAACGAATGGTGATTTGATCGGTTCTTGTGAGTGTACGGTGAATGGGACGGGAGTAGACTGTGGGTCTTATGAGAATCAGTGAATGATCACTAGTGAAGATAGGTGCGGTGAGTTTTAGGGCAAAATGTTCTGGGTGATTAGTAATAACCTTGTCTAAAAATGAATCACCGCTTGTGGGGGACAAGCAAATATCAGGTAAGCCAAAAGAAGTTATGGGATAGATGGATGCATGATTCAAGTGACCAACAATGACTATCGTCTTTGAGGGGAACGTAAGACAATAAATGCATCAAAGAAAGATGAAATTTGAGACTGGGTACAAAAGTGGGCTATGTATAAGTTGGTAATGATTGTACTTCTGTATAGCGAATATCTGGGGAAACATTGAACAGCTAAGCAGTCGATGCCATCGGCGGAATAATTTCAGACTTGCCGCTCCAGGTTGAGTTGATGTATGTGATCACTTCACCTCCTATTTTCTTCTTACAGTGCCTCCTGTCTTTAAGGAGGCACTCAAAACCATTGATTCCAATTAGTGAGTCCTCGACATTATGGTCAAGCCAGAAGTCTTAGACACAAACAACACACGTTTTACGGTGGATGCGTGAATCAAAGGTGCACGTTAGATCCGTCATCTTTGCGAAGAGCGATCGGATGTTCGTGCTGACCAAAGAAGGGACAGTCATTTTCGATGGTTGTGTGCAACTAAGCACTGCTTGCTAGCCACCGCGCTTACGTTTCTTCATTTTAGTAGGAATCCGAAAATGAGCCGACAAGGACACAGTATAGAGATGATCATGTTTGAAGCTCATTAACTGAGACCGCGAATAGACCTTCCGAGTGGTCATTATGTGGTATTCACAAAAACAGAGTAATTCCGGGAGGGAGAGACTGAAGCGCAACCAATCGAAGGGCGCGCCATGATGATGAACAGCAGACGGGGTAAACCCCATTGTTACGAAGACCTGCTGTTCAGTGACTGAAACCGGCAACCTGAGCCCCGGAACTTGGAGTGGCAAACCACATAAGGCCCCGCAAGGTTGGGTGTGGTATTGAAGCGGACGTCAGTAAAGCTACCCACCACGGAAATTTCCACCAGGTATTGTGGACAGGTGATGGGTAAGGTAACCGAACGGTGTGTTGTCCACTGCAGACCAGTGTGTGCATAACCCAGGAAATTAGTCAGAAACCAAAGAAACCTCGGCTTCCAAGTCAGTTAACGAAATACAGAGAGTCAGTTCAGGGTTTAAGTTGAAGAACAGAACGAATACATGAAAACGAAAATACGAGCGCGTTTCAGAAACAGGGTAATTTTTTGTTGATCTATTGGATAGAAAGTAGGGAGATGAAGATCAATAAAAAACAGCCTGAATATTCGAATTCACTTTAGAGTTAAATTATCAGTATTGTGTGAGTATGAGATTCACTTACCAATACAGATACCGGTTCGATTAGGCTAAGAAACGTCAGGTGGGAGGTTCGCACATGGTATATTTTGATGGCAATCAAGCCGAGTTCTTTTATAAACCCTGATTTGCAGAACTGTAACGATTTATCTCCAATATTGGAATGTGATCAAAGCCCGACTCGTAAGATAAACATGGAACACTTTCGGGGTTGGCCCTTTCGTGCGTTAGTTATGGGTTCAGCGATTCAAGATAGATCATCAATCTCTGAGGCAAACAGGCCGCAAAAAGAACAACGACCCGTTCACTGTAGACTATCCGTTTAAAGAACAGGAAAACTTCTAGAATCGTCCAGAGGAAACCACGGAGCCCACACTCTTTCCTCTGATCAGTTAGGATGTTGAATGTTTTCCAGATATGCATTCGTATAATCAAAGCCAGAACTGCTGCTCACTGATGCTGCGAGAATGCTATTCATTCGGCGATTACCCATTGTTTCGTCGGGTACACAGACAGGTGGACAGATCACCACATGTGACGCTACAGCCTAGTCGTCAACACTTAGAGAAGATAGTTCAAAACCACGTGAGTAACCATCAATGGATAACCATGATACCTCCTTCATTACCTTAAGTGTATCGATTGTTTCGTCTTCAAGTCAGGTGAGGCAAATTGTAAAAACAACGGAAAATATAATAGTAATTGAAATAGTCGACCACATTTACACTATCCACTACAAATGTATTGTGTTAAAACGTGACCAACTGCAGTGTGTGGTTTCTACTCCACATGGGCGATTATTTTTCCACCAGCAGAACAATCACATTAGGCCACTTCATTCACCGGTTCCACAAATCGCCCAGTTCGAGCTCACTAGACTCCCGATGAGATGGGCTGAAAACGTTCATCCCATATGAAAAGACAGAAAAGAACCAAGCAAATTACATAAAAATGTGTTTAGTGGAGTAAAGTGCAAAGTGTGTTTTAGTTCATCAGCTGTATGGGCATAAATATAGGAGTGCTTAGCACGAATTTGGTCCAGAGAGAACATGTGAGTAGGTTGTGTGGGGCACTGTGATTGAATATATCACCCAATCAATTAACATGAAATGGAGACTGACAGTGAACGGTTTCGAGTTGATCAATGTTGCAAACAATAATGTGATCAGTCGTGCAAAGATTCCAGGGCACTTTACCATTGATGAACCGAGTCACATGCCAATACAGATAATCAAATCACGTGATCAGAAGTGGATGGAGATAATCAAATGATTACGTTCGATAGTTCAAAAGTTGATCTGTACAACAGTGGCTCCATGAGCTGAAGTAATGTGCTGGGTCAATTGACATTGGAAGAAATCATGAAGAGTTCGGCATGGAGATAGTGGAAAAGCAGTGAGGATAGATAAATCTGATACTCTACACATCACACGATGTTCATGGAAATGACTGATAATCCCAACATTTGACAATTCGTCTCGAGCAGGGGAACATCACTGTGACACCCAAGACATGACAATGAAACTGAAAGTCTTTTCTGTTCTATCAGAATACAGTTATATGCCTTAGTTACTGGGGAAGACGACAGCTGGGCGTATGCAATAGGTGTCCTAATCAGAGAAGCCCAAAAATCTGAATCCAATGCCCTAGCAAGTTTATGCAGATAAACTCTCAAACACATGACGGCTTACCTTCAGATTACTAACCCGTTCGCTTCATCCCATGTGGGCTTAACTGTGGAAACACCGATAATCAAAAACTTCTACTCGATGGATATCTCCTGCTCGCAAATTCAAGGCCTCGCAATCATAAAGCGAAACTGAACGAATAGTATAAGCAAAATATACACTAACTTTTAACTCCAGTGAAACGCCGCGTCTACGCCAATAATGTTTCAGCTCTGTGTACGGTGATCAACCCTTGGACCTGCAGCCGATTATTTTCTTTTCTAGCTACCGGTCATTGGTCACACAACTACCTAAGTAGTAAAAGCAGTCCACTGCAACCAATTCCTTGCTATTTAGTTTCAAAGCGGAATACGCAGTCTTGTAGCACCATTTTACACTTTAAAAGTGCAAAGCACATATCGAATGTGGTCACAGCACTAATTAGTCTATCAAGTACGCTTCGCGCGTCCTTCACACATTCGAACAGAGAGGCGAAGTCATTGGCGTACTAAAAATCGTACTGCTTTTCTCGCAATGACCACTTAAGGCCAACAGTTTGAAGACCACTAATTGCGTTATCCAGTATTTCGTCTACAATGAAATTAAACAGCAATGGCGAAACAATGCACCCTTGACGAACGCCGTTGCTGGTGACATTGAAGTGGTAGCAAGGGGCATGCGTGTCACTGTGCACAAGGTGATGTGAAGGCAAATGGTGAACAGAATGAGTAGCGATTCCCGTTGAATGATAAAGTAACCAGCGGCCAATGAAAGGACACAACTAGGATGAGTAAATCAACAAAACACGCGCCATCTGTATTGAACGAGTGGACACAAAACAAGACTTGCATTGAAAAATTTTGAGTTCGTTATGCTGAAAAGTTAAACATGGATGAAGGAGACGAGAAAGGGTCAGGTAGTGAGAGATGGATTGTCACAGTAGTGACTGATGAACCATGCGGGTTAACTTCATTTACTTGTGCATCATTTCCGGATTTATCGTACAATTTATTTAATCAATAAAAATGAAAGAAGAAGCGGATCTATGGATGACGGAATTACATAAGCCTAACGAATGAACTTATGTTATCTAAAACAAATTGACGGAACCTAATCGTTCTGAGACCCCGTTATTTATGGTAAGCTGTGTGGTGAGGGAATAAATCTAAGCACGGCAAAAAGGGTGTACCGCTTATAAACCTGGAAGATCATTTCGAATCCAGTTGAAATTTGATGACTCACAAATGAGCCTTAAAACATGGGATTAACTGTGAAGATGGTATCATCACAAGATCAAAGCCCATAGGGCATCTGGTGTACAAGGATTATTGGCGCATTGTTGTGCTTGACTGACAATACCTACACTCTGGCAAATGAATTGGCAAAGTTTATGGAGTCCGAACAAGCTGAATGAAAAAAGCGGTAGTGGGACCGCAGCCATTAAGTGCATGGTGTATGATGAATGTGTCTGTTTCGCGAAAAGCCGCAACTCCCAAACCAATCAATACTTCGACAGACAAATGCGGTGCGTGTAGGGTAAATTAAACAGAGGGCAAAGGATTGTGACACTTGAATGAAGTACGCAGATGAACCGGTATGGGTGCGTAAAAACGAGCACACACAACCACATATGAAATATTCTGAAGGCAGTGTGACAGAAAATTGGGGACAGTCAAGTTACATTCCATTCGATTATAGGGAAGTTGTATTCTATCATTTAAACCGAACTATTGCACTGAAGATCCTACACAGAGTGATGGCAGCGGTTGGATGGATAGATAGAACTCGAAGCATATCAATCCGACGTTTGATATTAATTACCTATCTGTGATAGCAGAAAGCATTACAGTTCGAATAAAACTTACAAACGACGAACTGGTAGGATGATCAGGTCGGCGTCCAATCCGAAGATCACTAACAAGACAATACCCTGACCGAAGTTGAACACACCGTCGAGGAATTCCAAGACCAGATAGACGCCAGATGCTGGTTCCTGAACCAAACGCCACGTACACAAACAGATACCCTGGAAAAATGTACGAGCGTGAAGAAAGTGCAATTAGCTGACAGCAGAGAATAAAACGGCTCGTATGCGCACAGGTTTTTCGTCTTAACAGTGATGTGCATAGCTACTGTTTGAGCAGCATCATCAGAAACCGAATAACACAGCTGTCCATCGTTAGCCTAAACAAGAATGACAACAAAAAGTGACACGGCGAAGATAGTGTAGTTCAAAGCTACCAAAGTGGCGGAAAGCATCAGCACTGTCATCCGACATGCGACTACTGAGACAGGGAGATGACTGGAATACCCGATAGAGGAACATGGTTCTGGTAACCGGGGACTCCAACTCACAAAGAACATAGTGGTCAGCAATACAAGGATGAGTAGCAAGTGTCGTTGATGCTGGAATTCGAGCTCGTCGTCCAGACAACAATTTCCAACCAGGTCGTCCGTGTTATCCGTTACGCTATTGGAATGCGACTGTTGTATACGCGATGCCATTGTCGATAAGGTGGCGGTTGATTGGGCACTACCACCACCAAACGGGTAGGTGCACATACGACCATAATGAACGAGGAGTCTGTGAAATCATCCAATTAGAATAAGAAAGCAGTGGATAGAAAGTGCATTTTATAACAACGACCAGACGAAATGATGTGCTCAACGCCACAAATTCTGATAACATTTGAAATGCGGATGATAGTATATATATGCGTGAACAACTTCGACCACAGGTATTAGGTTTACCCCCAAGCGGAACGGTGAACTGAATCGGGGAAAAATTTGTCGCATTATTTCGTCAGAATGCCGAAAAAGAGAACCGGACATTTTTTCCACTGAGGAATAAATAAGGACATGCCAAGAAAATTGGTGTGTATATCAGAGCAGAGAAAACTGAACAACCCAAATGTACACGACTACAGTCTTAGAGACTAGGGGTAAATGGTTGGTGGTGGGGTGATCGATGATGACAGTACAATCATCTGCTTCTGTTTTATTTAGCTCTTTTCTCGGTTTATCGACCAAATGACTAGTGGAATACCAGCCAACACAAATTAGCAGCACGTAGTACAAACTGAAATGATGTATGGAACAGTAATTTATCTGTGCAATGTTATCTATCTATTCACAACCACTGTGATGCATGTCAAACAGTCCACCTCGTCTAGTACAAATGGTTCTATAGAACGTGCGTGTTAGGAGCTGAGCAAAACAGTCACACGATACCCAGAGGGCATTTCCGATAATGAAACAAAAGGAGGACAGAAATTTCATGCGGATACATCGGAGTCCATCTGAATGCACCAGGGACCAAAATACATCATGCAATCAACTTTCGTACCAATCAACATCAAATAACTTAAATTACAGTTTTGTGACTGACTACGTCATCGCTCAGCAATGGCTTCCATCTGTCATCATGACAACTTTGTTTTCCATGCACAAGATTATATATACTTTTCTTGAACCTGGGCCAGAATTCACCGAATCCAAAGCGAAGGGAATGCAAGTAGGAAGCTGACAAGAAGCATTGTGCAACTGCCAGCCTTGTGGGAAACGGTCAACCCTGCGCGTATTCGCCGAACCGGTAGATAGATAACCAGGATCTGAGAACGAACTTTTTTCAGTATATAACCCGTNCGTTGGATTAGATTCTGACAACTTGACCTGTCAAACCAATGCTCTCAAAGTGGACCACCTTGGTATCAAACAGAACCAGGCAATCGGCTCATCATTCGAACTTATCGTATCTACGGTTTTGAGTGATGGGGTTAATTTATCACAAAGTTTTGAAACACGGAAAGTTGTAATCCACTGAGCGTGAAAGGAACCTGACGGTGATGGAGAGTAAGTTTAGCATGAACAATAACCATATGTGTGTATGTACTTACCGGTTGCATTGTCGCCTACGGTTAGGACTAGTGCAACGACAATATGGAGACAGAGTGGAAATAAGTGAGTTCCGACTGTCACGGCGGAAATCACCCTGGGCTGCCATCTCGTCCGTTAAATTATGAAAAGAGCTCGCGGACAATGCTGGACCGTCTCGGATCTGAGCTGCAGAACCACGTTTGGCGGAGCAAGAAGGGTTTCGCACAGATATACGACGTCCCACTGCCGGAGGAGGCTGATTGGACACGAAAGGATTAATTGGAACGCGAAACAGAGAGGATGATGGAAAACGCATGCATTAAACGAACAGAACTACCCGAAGACAGATATCAAACATAAAACCATCAAACTAAATGTTTATTTTACCTCGGAGCAGCTGTAGATTTAGCAGTAACCCCGAGTTTTCAAACAAGAACGTTAATGGTATTGCAATCGATCAATGATCGGACACAATCCAATCTGAACAAGTTCAATAAATCTTTTTTTCCGGATAGATTCGAGTACCACGATAATACTCGAATAAATTAATTCCATCAACGAAACACGTGTATTTCAACCAACCAGCTCGATTGATTGGGGACTATTTACACCGTAGCACAACAACCCTGAATATTGTTCACAACTAATCTTACACTAAGGCTTAATTACCGATGACCGGCTGGTGAATTCATATAAGTGCCACCTATGATATTGGTGCGTTTATATTCGCGACTATTTGGATAGTCGGTATAGTGGTCAAAGAAAAAGCACCGATAAGGACAAAAAAATGAAAAAAATAATGAATAGGTATGCAATTGATGGTGAATCTCGTTGAGATCGGCTGTCTGGTTCACTTCCTTTCAAAGGACTAATCACCTTTCAGCTACTATCAGTCGGAAGAAGTTTACTCACGGAAATGATTGCATTGTTGGCCAGAGCACTCTGGGGATGCTTAGTGAGGGTTACAGGAGCAAAACACCCACGAGAGTGGAACTATGGATTATTCCACAATGAGACAGACCAAATCGAAATAACTGATATGAATCTAAAGCTTCACACGCTTTCACAACCTTAGCTGGACGCTTAGAGAGTATAAAACGGTTTCGCGGGAGAGGTGCCTTCGTACAGGGTGGGCGATGGCATCCTAAAAACTCGTTCACTAGTCGACAGATGCGGATTTAATCCAACGGCCCATGTGTCCTTATACAGACTTCCTTCATAGTCATCCACTTATAAAGAAGTAGCTGTCTTCAGGTGCCTTATGCTAGCTGCCTAGTGGTCGGGTAAAAGCATGGCTTATGTCGATCGATAAAATGTATCCAAGGTGGACATTCATCCCATTGAATCAAACCACGCACTCACCTCATGGATTGGAGATGTCTCACCTTCAGCACCGGACCCGAGTCGAATGTACCAGATGACAAACACCAGAGTGCCTATTGTGTTCACCAGTAAAACCACCAGGGATACAATAAGCTGCATGCACAGAACAACAAAGCGTAAAGAAAACAGACAGTTGAAAAGAGAACGTGAAACGTAATAGATTATACTCTCCATGAAAGAACGGATCATGGATAGTTTGTCTGGGTTCATTCCTTTCTCTTGTTTTTTTAACCCTATGAAAGTATAACTAAATCGATATGTTCTAGGTAGAGAGACAGACGAAAGACGTTATTCTGTTGAGAAAAAATTTCATAAACTGCTATCTTTTCTGAACACTGAAGGTGTTGGTAATATGTCAGTTAGGGTCGGTAGCAAACAAGTGTTCCATGTTCGAGGAATTAAAAAGTCAACGATGGAGAAGTCACCACTATTGGGGGAACGACATAGAACACAAAAGTAATGATTGAAAGAAGAAAGTCGGAGTTTCAGTTGCATCAGCTGAAATTCACGGTGGAAAAAATCAAGATTAGGGATTCTGGAGGCGGCGACTGAGTGGTGGATAAAGGCGCAGACACCAGATGTAGGCACAGAGAGGGAATGGAAAGTGTAGTTGACTCGAAGGTTGTTAGGGTCTGAGGAGAGGGAGATTTGTGGTTCGGTCAAAAAAGGGAAAGAGGAGAATAATGGGGAAATCGGCGTACAGAGTTAATGCTGTTGTTCAGCCCACGAATGTTGGTGAGAGTGATGAGTAGGTATTCACTTTTTGAGTGAGTGTGCGTGATTTCGCATTGTACTGTTCAGGTGGTGAGAAGGAAAACAGCAATCATGATTGAGACTCGGAGTGATGAACGATATAAGGTCTCAAAAGATCAGGTGTGGTAGGGAGCCGACCGGCGGTAGAGCCGCCTAACACAGGCGATCAATCTCCGTACAAAGCACCACATATTTTTGTACAGCGCTTTGACCCGGCGGGTTAATTGTGTTCGCAATGAAAGCTCCGATACCGTATCGGGGTTTCACTCTAGGTTATACGACTATAGTTACCACAGGAGATGTTGTAATCTTATGAAATAGCCAAAATGGTATGAGCGGACCACGATCGGAATAAACGGAATCAACGACAGGACTTTTGGATCACGGTAAAAAAAAAAGTTCTTAGTAGTTCGTATTTAGTTAAATTTGGATTTATTCTGGCTGCCAAGTGCAAACGCCACTATTTCTTTCTTTGTAGTTGAGATCAAATTTAAATCTTTCAGTGCTCCAAAATTTTTACTAAGAACAAAATAAGTGGTTGAATTCTGGGCAACGACTGCCTTCATGTAACTTCTCAAAGTTCATTTCGTTGATTATTCTGCACATGTGTTGATACGTCAATTTATTTACCCTACCGTGACCGGTGCCTACCGGTCTGTGTCAGTCTCCGTGCCCAGCATTGATTGTCTCAATTACACCAACTCGGGTGTCCCCTGAACATGTGTGTTGCAGCCAGCGCATAGATCGGAAGTACACTGCGTACACGCCTGTGCACCAGAGCTGAGTTCAAGTCACGCAGAAATGTATCCTAATGACCCATAATCTCTAACTAACTACTTACCTGCAGTGGTGAAACTGAGAATTCGACTTGGTCATTCTAATACTTGACAATGGGGTGATCAGGAACTTCTGACTTATCCATATCATGCGGCCCCATTTGGATAAAAGAGTTAAATGAAGATTGGAATGTTGAAAGCAAATTCAAGCGGAAGATGGAGAATTCATTTAGAATGGTGTTGGGCGAATAGTGAGTGGATGCACGAGTGCCATTAAGATCTCATAGATTTCAATGGCCGAAGGACTTTATCGAACACAATTTGTTTAATGTTT